AATGTTGTTACAAGTACAAATCAAGATCAAGAAGAAAGCTTTTGAAAAACTTACCAGTGATTCCTTTGACCAAAAAAACCCAATTACATTACGGAAAGTCTAAAGATCCAAATCCTATCTCTCTTATTACAAGATTCAATTCTTTGGAAACAATTCTAAAAGAGTACATTATAAACTCGGATTTCCTTGATGAATTGGAGACTGTAAAAATGAGGTTGGTATTGATGAGATAATAAACCTCTCATGTAGATGCCATATTTATTATGCATGACCTATTAATTTAAATTTCCAAAATTTTTATTTAATATTAATATTTACATTTTAACAATCATGATCAGTGTTAGCAATGACGGTTATTTAAATTTCTAACCATTTAAAAGATGTTAACACTTAAATAATTATCCGTTATAATATTTTTTTAAGATAAAAAATAAAAGGAGTTGTTCTTTACGGGACTAGCCTTTATACAAGTTACACAAATGGATGGTATCTGATAAATTTTAACCAAGGTGCTTTTTTCCTGTGTGATTTGTTAAAGTTATAAAACTATGTTGTTTTACTGCCAATACTGACCCTGTTTGTCTAATTGACACTGTGTTATTTTATTCAACATATCATATGGATTGATTTGTTTTCATTTATATTTATTTCTTATAAAGTGCAACTGACTTAAATGATATGAAATTTATGACTATGAGGTAATTTGGAATTTATCTTTTTTGCATTGCATGTCATTTTAAAATAGTAGATTAAATTAACCTATTTCATAGCTACCAGGAAGCAATTGCAAAACATAAAAACATACCAATAGAAAGAGGTGTTTCAAGCATTTGAAAAAAAATACAGCGAAGCAATTCTAGAAGCTACATTTATATATATATAGTGCTTACACTTCTAAATAGCATGAAGGGAGAGACAAAAGAAAAATAACCGAAAATTTTATATTAAATGATTATTAGATTTAAATTACTCCGCCGTATTTTTGTTGTTCTCAGATTTGCGAAAAAATAACGTTAATAAAATACTTGCTATTTTATTACTCCTAATAATAATAAAGATAGTTTTATTTATTCCAGAATGGGCAGATCCACTTAAATGCTGGTAATTGTATTCATTAACATCAATAACGGCAAAGCCATATAGCGTTTTAGATAGTATGACTGCTGCTGTTCAATGATGAAAAGCTGCCAGATTTAGTAAAGAGTTCTATTAATGTAGATAATTTATATCATGTATCAAAATGGTGATGTCAGTAGGATAATTTTCTTTTTTGTAAGGTTTTTTCTGCCATTCCTTATCATTATTTTTTGATGATACCCAAACAAAAGGTAAATAAGTCTTTTAGATATCAAAACAGTTGACGATTTTATTAGCCGGCTTTTTCAATTGCTTAATATTACAAACATGTATAGCAAAATAAAATCATAGATTCATTTTTATTTAACATTACAAAATTTTTATCCACTTTTCTGATTCTAATTCTAATACTAATACTAGATGAATGCTTTATGACAGTGACTTCGTCACTGGTGTTACTTGATATTTACTGTTTTAAAGTCTCTATTCAAATAAAAGTTACTATTTGAAGAAAAATTTCTGGCCTTCGGCAAAGTTGAA